ATATATATAATATTTGACTATAGATATCGTTTCTCATCATTTTATATCTGCATTGAAATACATAGTCTCTTGATTCTCCACACTTGAAAGATGGGTTAGATACAGCCAGGATCCACGTTTTAGAATGTGGGGCACTTGTTTTCACTACTATTTGATACATACATAATTTTTTATTTTAAAAAATAATATATTTTAAAAAATAAAAATTATATTCTAATAAAATAAATATATATGTTTAAATTATCATATATATAAAATATAGATTCAGAGAAAATATTTATTTATTTAATGTCTATCAAATTTTTAAAGAAAATTAATTCTCTAATATGATAAATAATACTTCTTAATAACGAATTAATTTTTAAAAAAAGTTTAACTATAATACACACACATATATATATATTAATACTCACATATATAATGTAATATATTAAAAAATTAATTTTTGATAAAATAAAATTTATAGTATGCATGTTTACCTTTTGTATTTTTTATTTATTATATACGTTGATTATAAAAATAAAAATAAAAAATTGAAAGATTTATGTTTCATTTAGAATTGTTATTATAAAATATATTTTAAAATAAATTATTATCTAAAAATATATATTAGATACTAAAAACATGTTTATATCATAAATAAATTAAACTTGATTTTTATAAAATTTAACATATTTATTTTTATATTTTTAATAGTATTAAATTATTATAAAGTAGGTCTTTAAGATTGTAGTTCTATCCAAACATTTAAAAAATGTCTATGATAGATAAATAAGTCATATTTAAGATATATATTTTTAAAGAAAGTTAGGTTCAAACCTACTAAGTTATAATAAAATCTAGTCTAATCTAATTTATTTTTATCTTTAATTATAATCGTAGATATAAAAACTTGTAAAAAATAATTATGATATATATTTATGCCTTTAAAAGTTATACATAAAATTTTTAATACTACAAATATATAAATAAATATTACCCATATTATCTAAAATTTCTAGATCCCTCACTAGATATAGCAGTCAGATTTGTTATTTCAATCTTTTCAAAGTTGATTTATCTTCTATTATATTTACTTTTGTAGATATAATACTTCCAATCTTGAAGTAGCACATTCCTTTATGTTGGTATCTTCTAGATGATATGATTGTATATTAGTTGGTGTGCTTCTAGTTTTTTAATACTTTTTTTTTTTTATTAAAAAAGGATAATTGATATGATATTCATTTTCTTTCTTTTATAGGTTTGTGCCTCTAGTTTATTTTTTAATATTTTATTAAAAAAGAAAAATCAATATAATATTTATTTTTTTTCTTTAAATTCTGATATATTTGTTCATAAATATTTTATAATATATATATATAGGCACCCCCAATCTCAACACTATCAAGAATATTTGCAATACTATGGCTTTTGTGTCACAAGTTGAACCTAAAAGTATAGATGAAGCACTAAAAGATGAACATTGGTTAATGGCCATGCAAGAGGAACTAAATTAGTTTGAAAGAAATGAAGTATGGGATTTAGTGCCATTACCAACTGATTATCCAATTATAGGAACCAAGTGGGTTTTTAGAAATAAGCTTGATGAATCAGGAATTATTATAAGAAATAAGGCAAGACTAGTGGCTAAGGGGTATAATCAAGAAGAGGGAAT